TTTGGTAAATGTCCAATTGCAGATTATTTGTGGGCGTTCTGAATAAATGTAGTTGCACACAGCACCAGGCGCTCACCAGTGAGTTCTTTTTTTTAATGCAAATGTTTTCATCTCTGCAGTGTGCTGAATTTTAAATTCACGTTGTCTGCACCAAACTGTAAGGGCTTGTTGTGGTGAGTTTTTACATATTTGGATTGCCTGTGATATGCTTTTTCACTACACTAATCTGGTATTTCAAATAAATAAAATTCAATTTCACAGGTTCCCTGTTACTCCCATGGAGACAGATTTGCTATTTGTTGCCAAGGATCATGCTGTGCCATGTAGGGAAGCATATTCATTGCAGCCTGTATTACAAAGCTAGATTTGATAACAGTGAAGAAGTGCTGCACAATAAAACAACAGATCAGTACATTACATTATTGTATTTATTTGTTTAGGGATTGGTTAACAATCTGAATATTGAAGTCTTTCCCTCAGGGTTTATATGAACCACATCTATTTAGATTTTGTATTAAATTTTTCTGACCATACCAAATTGTACAATATGGTAAATGCATGGCACGTAGACTTTGTGCACAGCACCATGGCTTCTTTGAACTGAACCTTTGTCAGTTAACCTCAGGCATGTCACAGAAAGCAGTCTGTCATGTTTACTCGTCTGCTACTGCAAAGTACTGCAGCTTCATATGAATGTAATATTTAGTAGTCTGACTGTCCCTCCTCGCCGCTGACCTCTGCGCTGGTCAGATGTCATGCAGATACCTGCATGGAATCTTAACTTTGTTTTTCACTTCTCACCCCCACATCAGTCAGGGTGAATACCACGTGCCGGTAATATAGTAAATAAGACAAGTTTTGCTGACACAAGATAACAAACAATAGCCCAAGACAATTTTGTCATAAGTCACTCTCTCAGACACACCGTGGGTTTGGATCAGCAGCTTTCAGATATTTGCACCAAGCAAACAACTTGATGTAGCAGACAGCACATAAGCCTGAAGAAAATACTATGGAAACACCCTTATATAACAAAGATCAAAACCAGATCCTTCTGTTTCTGCACTCTGCTGTGTCTTGTCAACTTCAGCCTGATCATGTTGCAGCTCCTCTCCTTAAAGATACAGGCTGAGCTCAGAAAAAAGAAAGGTTGGAAAGATTCTTTCCCAAACACATATAAGGGCATTTGGGGGCGGTGACCAAGTCCAGCATTGTTTTGGTGGTGAAAAAATAAAATTGCAAGAATGTAACACCGCTGGAAAAATGGAGTTTTGTTAGTTTTAACAAATCAAATAGACTGAAGTTCTTCATGTCATGTCACTGTCAGGGATGGCATTCTCCTAATTGAACTTTCATTCATTTATCAGTGATTTAATCTTACAGACTTTGATTGTCCCAAACCAGCTTTCCTACCTTATTCCCTTTGCCGTGTTCATGAATATAAACAGCTGTCAGTTGATGCTGAGGTTTTATATTACACTCATTATATTCCATATGTATATAGGATGTGTATATGAGCATCTGCCTTGCAAAATTGATTAGAAATTAGAATTCCTGGAAATTGCGACTTCACAGATGTCCATCAGTGAAATCAATTTCATTCATTTACACATTTTGCGGACGATTTTATCCAAAACGATGTAGTATTGATGGACAGCACTAAAGCTCCAGTACAGCAGACCCTCGGAGTAAGTGCTAAGGGCCAAATCTGCTCAATAAGACAATGTGTAGAGTAAGTGGGACAAAAGTGCAAAGTAAATGCTAGTTAGGCATGTTATATTGTAAGAGGTGTGAGGGACAGCAGGTGCTCTCAGAAGAGATGAGTCTTCAAGAGGTTTTTGAAGATAGAGGGAAGTTTGTGCTCTGAAAGCATTAAATAGCTTGTTCCGCCATTGGGGAACCACAGATGAGAACAGTCTAGACCATGATTGCCTTGTGTGTAGGGATGACAATGCCTGACATCTCGTAGAGTAATGCGATGGCTGAGAAGGAGCATAAGCCTGTATCCCTGAAGATCCCAGAAGTTTCTCTGTTGGCAGCCATGAGTCACCTGAATTCGATTCTGTTGACCAGTGGAGTGATGCATGCCCTTTTAGGTTGATGGAAGACCAGACATGCCGCTGCATTCTGGACAATCTGTAAGGGTTTCACTTTGCTTGAAGGGAGGCCTGCCAGAGCCCTGCGGAGGCTGGACATAACCGTGAGATAATAATAAACACGGACTGTACAAAGATCAGGATCTTATGTATTCCTTACTATCTCTCTCTGTCTATCTATCCATATGTCCATCTATCTATTCATGGAGTTTTTGTTGGTGTAAAAATGGCTTACTGTATTCTGACTTGACCATTGGAACAATTCGCAGCAAACAGATGATGCATATTAAAAATAATTGTCATTCAGAAGCTGCAGGGTGGAAGTACCTTTTCTGTTATCATGAGGACTGGATCTGATCAGACTAACTGGGGTTTATTGATCAAAAATCCAGAAAATGCATCAGTTTTGGGTTAGTTAAATATATCTTACAAATACACAGTCTATGATCACAGTGACATTTAGAGTTTTATTTGTGGTTTTTAAAGAAATTTGTTTTTTTTTAAACATACAGAATCCATTCAGTTACCTTTGCATTTCCAAATTTGTCATTAGAAATTGAGTAAAGTAAAAAAAGTCTGCAGTTGTTTGCTCTTTTGTAGAAATGGCATGACAGCTCTCAAAGAGTGAAGCCAATTGCTTCCAACAGCCCTGATGACTACTGCAGACTTTCGACTCTAAATGACGGCACGATGTCAGCTCTTGTATTGGATATATTTTGGCTTTATTTTTGTATAATGGCAGGAAGTGGAAACTTGTCATCCACCTTAAAGTCTATGATCAGTGACAGCCATCTTGGTTGTGTAGCTGCACAACTAATAGGCACTACAGTCACTCATATCAAACCGTCCAATTTTAGGTAAATGGTTGTTATTGACCCATACTGTGGTGGTAGGAGCAGTTGAACATTTCTCTCCTCTACATATTTAAAGCTTGGTGAAAAGGTTGTGTGATTTAAGGGCTCTTACTTGCTCTGTAATCACAAAACTTATATCTATATTTACAGTGCTTTACACCTAGTAGTCAGAAGGAAAGGCTGTGGTCTGACCATAAATGAAGCCAAAATGGATTAGAGTCAGTTTTTCCAGTACATGTGGTTCAGGTTTTAACACTAAGTGCCATAAAGGTTTTGAAAACCCTCTGTGAATGTGTTGCATGCGTAGATAAACTATTTTTTAATCTATGTGTTACGTTTCATATGGTCTTATGTTATGTGTTTATTGCACATATTCGTACAATTTATTGGTTGGCTCTACTCCTGAGGCAAAAGAAGACATTGATGTGTTATTGTCCTGGACCGCAGATTGAAATAGAAGCTTTGCCAAAATACCCTGCAAATGTCCAGTCTGCACAAAATGTATCAGTGGAGACAGAATTATGGAGGTTTAAGAGGAGAGGGATGTACTGGAAGATTGTGTTCAACCAAAAGAATAGAGTAATAAACCTCTCTAGGCTTGTTAATCACAGCCTCTGGTAGATGTTTATCAAAATATCTGTCAGTAGTTTACCAGTGAATACATTGATTTTAAATACTTTGGCTCTGTCAGCATGAGCACAATAAGACAGTGTTTTCTTGTGGAATATTTACACTGGAATATGACATCTTTAAAAATTGGTCAGGCTAAAGATTTGGAATATTATTGCCATTTTATTATTATTTTTCATTGGTACTGCTGTTTTGTGACATACAGTACCTTTCCTGTTACATCTGTGCCATGGTAAGCATGGTGATACACAAGGTAGAGAAATAAGGAAAGAAAGAATAGAGGTTGCAGAAAAGTAATGGAGAAAACATTAACTGGAAAAATAGCCATGTCATTCAAGTAAAATACATGCCTGCTGCAGATTTACCCATATTTCTGCTGTTACCGTGAGTTACAGAAAAAGTGCATCAGAAAAATGAATGACTGGAGATGCAAATGAAAGATATTATTTATACCAATATAAGAGATCCACGTTAACAGAGGCCATTTGACATGTGTCACTGACAATAGGTCATTTTTAACATTCAAAAATCTGGTGCATATTTACTGCCGTTATATTTTTGTGATGAGGATTTTTTTCAACATTGAAATGATCAAAATTACTTGCTCCTCCCCAATTATTAGGCAGAGTGGCCACTCAGAATTCTACTTGATTATAGTCTGCAGAGGAGGTGTAATGATTCCACAGTCTCATATTGCGATACAGAATGATGGAACTGTGACATCCGATGGCACCACTTCAGGTGCAGTCTGTTCAGCTCTCTCAAAACAAAATATTTGATTTCACAATTAATACTGGAACACATGACAGGCACAAAACTCATTATTTTACTTACAGTTAAGTCAAGCTGTATATTTTACGATCATTATTACACTTAATGTGTTAAAAGTTAGGTTAGTTCAGATAGTTCAAGATGGATAACAACTCTTAAATTGCAGACTTGACCGACAAATTCAAGTAATCAGGTCTCATTTGCATTTGCGTTTTAGCTCCTCCTACCATCTTTAGCTTTATTTATTTGTATGTTGTGCTAATTTACTTGTTTTCCCTGGATTTCATTGCTGCTCCCAGTTATAGATTTGTTATTTTAGTGAACTCTTAAGAAGATTGGTAAGACACCAGAACGGCACAGTGCTCCTTGGACCTTACATGTTATCATAGTCTCATATTCATTTAAGCTCCCCAAATATAATTGGGCATTTGAGTAGCAATGACTTAAAATGCAAACTTTAGTAGCTAATAAGACTTGATTAATAAAGTTAAAACTACTAAGACATATGTTGAAATCTTTCAAGCAGCCAAAATGGTGAAATGGCTTTGCAGTTATGACTAAAGATAAAATAAAGGAAAAACTGGTATATATCATGTATAGCAAAACATAGTTATTCAGAACAACTTTGTCTTCTCTTTCCATTTTTCAGAGCTAAGAAGCAGCTCATGTGGAAACCCTGGTGTTCCATCCAAAGGAATACTGAATGGAACTCAGTTCAACGTAGGTGACAAGATTCGCTACCGGTGTGTCACAGGCTATGTCCTAGACGGACATTCACAACTCACCTGTGTCACCAATGCAGCCGGGGTGTCAGTGTGGGACTTTCCTGTGCCAATCTGCAGAGGTAAGGATGTTTTATCACTGAAAATGAGTTACTCATTATTTTAACTGCATAACTTTTTCTCCCAGCTGTGCAATATGATAAAATGGTGTCATGAAGAACATGATGTTATCTACATATTTTTGGGTTGCCCCCCAAATTTTGAATGACAAGATGATAGATTTGTTTTGTCTTTTGATTCCATTTATTTCCTCAAGTTAATTACTCACAGTTTGGGTGACTGGATGATTGTTCTGCACCACAGATATAGCAAAAGTGGCACAAGTCCTCATTAGATAAATAATTTTGCAAAAGGTTGGAATGATTTTAATCACAGTGAAGTAGTTGATTAGAGCCTCGGAGTCTGGAAAGGTTAATAAAATATTTATTCCTGTGGAGGAGGTAGCTTAATACATTATTGCTGTTAGCAGGAGTCATACATCTATCGTTGCAGTGTTTATGCTGTGCTGTGACTCCACTGAACACTTCTGTGCCTTTTCTTTGGAACACTTACAGGTCTAGCAAATCTGATCTTAACGAAGAGTGGTGGGTTCGATGACCTGTAAGAAGGCAGGACAACTGCTGTCTTACTGAGGTCTCGGTCACCTCTTCTCTCAGACTGAATGGGTAGTAACACCAGGTTACTTGAGCTACGAGAATAAAGGCACATAGTCCGTTATTACTATCTAGAAATGTTGGACAGTGAGAAATGAACCCAGCCTCACTTTTAGTTTATTGTGGTTACCCACCATCTCTCAAAACACGAGATGGAACAGTTACAGACTGAACATACAGACACTGAAGGGAGAAGAACAGGGGGTTTGAAATGAAAATGCCACATTATTCTGTCATACCAACTCATGCAACTGCAGTATTTACTGTTACTTTTTATCCTGCCTGGCAGATTGAAAATACTGTGACTGCTAGCAAATGAGTATGGCAGGGTTATGTTGCGGAAACGTTTTGATTGTAAATTTTTTGTCTACCTCAGGACAAATGAAATCAAAATAAAATGGATCATATGGGCTGTTAACCTTGTTGCTTGTGAATGTAATTAATTTTAACCTATTATATATTCTTCAGTGAAAACTGTCTGTAAATAGGGGATGGAGGATATTACAAGTCTGATCATTTAAAGTGCCTGGTTTCATATCTTGGAGTTTTGGATAATAATGCACAAAACCTAAACATCCAATATATGAAAGCTCTACTGCAAAACCACATTTTTAATGAGTATTTGCCTCATTTAACATGCACTTGAATACTAAAATATTCCAAAAACTTATTTGAATGTACAGCTACTGCCAGGATCAGTTTACTGTGTTACCTATGACTGGAACTCTTAAAGAAGCTGTGCAAATTGTTCCAAAAAGCTCCTTCGCTTGACCGTCAGGAACGCAAGAGAGTGAAGCACATGCTATAACATACTAAAGGTTTTGCTGGTATCTGGTTTATGAATGACTGATGTGCTCCTGATACCATGCTGTTTATCCCATGCTGTGATTAAATGAAACCATGTCACAGTAATGCAAATAATCCGCACTTGAATATGTAGAGGCATTGTGCAAATGAGAGTGATTTCCTGCATATTGTGATGACGTGCACAAACATAAGCAGTGTATAGCGTATAATTTAACAACAATTCTTTAGCTGTAATCACTTGGAGCAGCTAAGCATAGACAATTTTGGTTTAATCAGTGCTACAAGCTTGTCTAAATCTCCTTGTGGACATTTTTGTTGCTGAATTTGTTTTACTCAATAGAACTGTTTAGGTAAAGAGATGTAGGTATTTATTGCAGTTTGGCTGAACATCAAACTTGTGATGCACATACTCCCAGCAGGCAACACCTTTTCCTTTGCATTCGCTGTGTCAGCCTCGCTTTCCCCCAAATCACCTCCCAGTAAGTGCTGCTGTTATTTTTAGAGACAGCCACCCCATCATACAATGTCCACAAGGACAAATAAACTACTATTAGGTAAAAGCTCTTAAAGAGAAGGTTTGAAAGTCATTCTTATATACTCATCATTTCCTTCCTATCTACCAGAATACTCTTCCAACTGTAACAGACTTAATGTTGGTTATAATAACATGCCAGAAAACACATATCACAGGAACACTCACGTACACTGGGCATGAATGTGTCATTGTAAACAGAAATTGTGTGTGCCTATGTATTCAGGAATTGTGTGTGCCTGTGTACACAGAAATGCTCAAAATAATAGCTTGTTTTCTAAGCATGTAAGAAGTTTTATCATTGTAAAATTCAGAGTTGAACTGCACAACAAGCAAAGCCAACAGACTCAGTGATGCTTGTAATTGATCCATGTTGCATTCTACACTGGTAGCCGAGGCAAACGACGGATAATACCTCCGAAAGAGGGTCAAGTGATTGGAGCCTGACGAATCAGCAAAGTTTACTTCTTGACAAAAAAGACCAAATCAGCAAGAGGTTGTGAGAGTCTATGTCACTGTTTCCAAACATCTCAGTTTCTGCCCGTCTAGACTACAATGCAGCTCCAGAGTTTAAAACTAAAACTGAGCTAGCCGTGTTTCCAAAGTTCTCTGATTGAGCGACTCTAAAACTCTGGAGTTGTGTGGACACCAGGCATATTTGGAGCAGAGTTGATGCATTTTCAAACAAACCCTGCAGGAATGTGGATGGAGCATTACCTAAGTTTCTGAATTTTAATGCAAGTGGTCCCCCAGCGTTAAAAAAAATAAGAGGAAATATGAAAAAGGAGTCAAAGTTCTCCACCTCCCATCTTTATATACGATCCCAAGAAATCTCAAAGCCAGCACATCATATTTGTTCATGCTAACTTACTCTACAATGCAAAGCACAACAGAAAGAATATGGTTGAGCATATGTTTGAGATACAGCAAGCTTGGAGGGAAACAAAAAGCTGCAGATGGAGGGTTCCTTTTCATTTGAGGATGGTGTTAACCTTTTGCCACGGGCCAGAATCATGACTTTTTTCCGGACATGGCTCTCATTGAGCCACTTTCGCTCTCTCGTCTAAATCCGACCTGGATCCTGTATGTGGGCAGATGGTGCTTTGATCTTATTTCCACAGAGATCCTGCCCTTTCTGCTCGTCACCAATTGTTCACACACTAAACACACACACAAAATCTCTCCCCAATCCACCGTCCACCCCCCACTATCTCCCAACACCTTAGTCTCTCAGCCATTCTCCTCCTTTTGTTAGTATTTCTCTCTCCTTTATCTTTTTTCCAGTTCTCTTCTCCACCCTTCCCACAATCCAAAGTCAACTGTGTGTTTGACTGACAGACCGAGCTATAGGCAAGGAAAAACACAAGTGCAGGGAGACATACAATAGCAACTTCCCATACAAACTGCTGTTTGATCATGAAGTTGTATACAGCCCAAGCTTGACCAATATTGAATGTCATTACTATACCGTGGAATTATCAGATATCCATTTATTTACTGGACAGAGCAGCCATATTTCATTTAATTTAAAGTGGTCTCTGCTGTGCTTAGCCTGGAGGCCACGCATTGAAGTCAGTATGACTAAACTGGTTTAAGTTAGCATTTCTTTTTCGTATTTCCCCCACTACACAACAAAACACTATTTTCCCTGTAGTTTTTGTAAGGCTAACCCAATGCCATATGATATCCCATTTAGATCAGCCTTAAAAGTGTGTTTATCCTGATTCACTGTCTCTTTTAAAGAAAACATGAATGGTTGAAGGACAACTGACAGCAGTAAGTAGAGTGTAAGTGCAGGGGTGTTGTAAGTGTAGTGTCAAAGAGACTGAAAAACTGACATAATGAACCAGACAGGATCAACTCTAAGCAGAAAGGCAGTGAGATGGAGAATTAATGCCTATTCTAATTGTAAGATGCTGCTGCTGCTGCTCCTCGCAGGGGCCCATTTCGATTCCCTCCATCTGAATTGTCTGTGGACATTCATTAAAAGGCAGTGAGAGAGCAAACAGGGACAGTGTGGTAACATGAGAATATGGTCTATTGACACACTGTTATTCTTGTTGCCAGCTTCTGTCCAACAGAATAAGAAAATTAGGCTGCATAGACCATTCAAACCATTTCCATGTCTGGGAGTCTGACTGGTTTAAACACACAGTGCTTCCTCAGCACTCTACTACACAAATTGAGAATTAAAGTCAGAGCATTTGACGTTCCCAATTGCCCATGGCAAATTCTTTTTAGTCCAAGTGACTGCTGAATCGTTCTTCTCATGTAGAGCTGATATGAAAAGAGCTCAGTATTTTCACTGAGTTATAGCTATCAGGCGCGAAATGGGCAAATATATTAATTACATTTGTAATGAGAACTAAATTACAAATGTGAACCTCCATATTCAATATTCATTGATTTCAGAACTAGGAGATGTTGATGAGAGTCATCACATATTTTATAAAACATGGTGGTGCAGTGGTTAACAGCTAGAAGGTTAAATGTTCAAATCTTAGTTTCTTCGTGGATTATCAATGTACTATTTATGTCTGTGTGGGTTTTGTTGGGGTAACTTTAATTGGAAACTCTAAATAAACCATATTTTTGAATGTGATGTGATTGGTCTGTGTATGTTGGCCCTGTGATTGGCTGGCGACCTGTCCAGTGTGTACCCTGCCTCCTGCCCAAAGTCAGCTGGGATTGACTGTACCTCCTCCTGCGACCCCTAAAGGATAAGCTGCATAGATAATGAATGGAAGCCCAAATGACCAAGTGCTTTAATATTTTGCAGCATGCGGGGGTACCGTTTTGTTATAAGTGAACCACGATAATCTTCTAAAAACTGAAATTACAGAGACATGGTCATGAATCAATCCCAAAATATGTATGATATCAAATGAATTACATCTCTGCACCCATTACAGATCTCCCTGCTGTTCCTCAACCCTATCAATGTTTAACTGGACTTGAAATGAGATACTTACTGTAGACGTAGTCATTGCCTTTGCATTAACACAGGGATTATTACAAAGAAAAAAACCTGAGGTATTGCAGAAAATTATACTAGAGTCCCTTCCTTTCCTCTATCCTTGGGGGTGAATATTTCTAAGTAGAAAGACAAGTGTTGTATATCTGATCAAAGTCAAGGGGAGAGAGGCTTAATCCCTCCTCAAGTAGCATTAGATTGCTGATGCTGGGGATGTAAATGAGCTCAGCTAAAGCAGTCCTAATCCTCACACCCATCTTTTTTTTCTAATACAGCCACCATTTTTAAAGGAGACAGATACTTCTTCGTCTTCAAACCCAGAACACGCTTTAATGATTTGTTAGGGAACACATTGCCCAGCATTCAGTTCCTTCCTATTATGCAACTAAACCTTGTTGTCAGACCTTACCTTATGTGCTGCCATGCATATCAGTGACACACTGCATGTGAATGTATAGGACCTGTAAGGCATTATGCAGCTGAAGCCATTTGAATTTCTCAAGCTGCAAATCGTTTTTAAGCATCAGACAGCAGTTTGCTTGTGCATGATTTACAGTACCATGCATGAATGCTTCTCAAAGAAACTGCGAAGAAATCTGTCTCAGTGCTTCAGTACTATAATGGATTTCTCCCTAGCATCAATTTAATTTGCATGTGCAATTTAATTGGCTACAATTGTAGACACATTAATGAGTTATAAGTGAGGTTATTATCATTAAATGTGGTTGTGGAAATCTGTCTCATACCCTCGAGGAAGCCCTGTGCTGAAATATTAGTGATTAATCCAAAGCACATAAACCCCCAAAAATTACTTTGAGCTAGTTTTACTAAAAAGCCTCTCTTAAGTTACTTTATTTGCAGACGGGACAGTAACCACTGCCTCGTCTGCTTTATTTATTCAAAGTTCTGTTGTGCCTGTCACTTCCAAGTTTGCACACGGCTTCCTGCTGCCACCTGAGTTGAATGTTGTTCATTGGCGATTTACCTTTTATTAAATTTTACTCTATTTTGCCTCTCAGCCCTTTTCATCTCTTTCCTGCCTTTTTCATTTTAGAATTCCTGCCTACCCCTCATTCTTTTATGTATCACATTGTCTTTTTTTTCTCTCACTCTTGATTTGGTGTGCACTTGTCTTTTTCCCTGACACTTTTTTGTCTTTTTCTGTCTACTGTCCTACACTCACATCTCCTCCCATCTCTCAACACTTCCTCACTATTTCTTTCTTGCTCTCTTTGCCACAAGGGCCATAGGGACACTTAATGCTGCCTGCCTGTCGTGAGGTTAAAAGTAATATCGCTCCTCTGTAACACATCAATATGCTAGGCACTCTTTGAAATGTGGCCTTAAATGCATAAATAGGATATACAATTTCTCAGTCAGCACAAGTGTTTTAGTAAATTACTATTTACACGAGAAGCAAATCATGAGTCCTTTTGTTTTTGTAGTTAATAGGCTGTAGGCATTCAACAAATTATGGCCTGCCCATGGTGTAAAAAGGATTCTCCCTAATATGAATCGTATGTGAGGACATCATGTCTCACACTGTATCATTTTGCCATCTCTGCCTTCCGAAAAAGGCTTTAATCAATTGCTATGCTTCTACTGTGTCAAAGGACATGAATCAAGCTAACTAGCAGCTCCTGCTCTCCAATCTTCTCCCTCTTTTTCTTCATCTTATTTTGAATTTCATACATCTGCTTCCTTGTTCCTTGACCAATCGTGTAATGCAGCATACAGGAATGTTCCAAGGCTGGCAGCTTTGACAGCCCTGAGTGGAGCGCTGAGCCATCAAAGGTTTCATCTGGCACAGCTGAGTGTCACATATTAGTCTTAAATGATGTGAAAACTGTGAAAGCCCTGCCATCATTACAATTCTTAAGGGAGAAAAAAACCGAATGCAGAGATAGAAGGGAGGCTGGCGAGTAATAGTATAAAAGATCTGAGAAGGTTCGGAAGAGTGGAATGGAGAGAGAGATGGAGAGATATTTGAAGGGGTGGGTGAGAGAAGGAGAAAAGGGATGTGGAGGGAAAGAGAGCAAGCCACTGTTATGGTGGAGTGCATTAACATTCAGCTGACGTGCTTTGCTCCCCACACTGAAAAAATATACAATTTCACAGCATTATAAGCCCTGTTTATCACCATTTGTTTGTTTCCTGAAACATGAGGGGCTCCGCGGACATAATGATGAATTACTGACTCTTGGATGGAGGGAGAATAGATGGGGGGGGGCACAAAAGCAAGAGTTGGGACTTTTCCTCTCACATTGAAACTGCTCAACAAAACTGTGACAGAATTAGTGCACAATTAATTGGTAAATAGTTCCACTGATTGTCACTTATGAATGCTTTATTTCCTGCCATTGTGTAGAAAACAAAATGAACCTTTTATTCAACATTTCATACCATTATCAATTTCATAATTGTGCTATAGATTTAGTTGATTAATTGATGGCCCATTGATTAGTCTCTCACCTAACTCATGCATTAGAGAAAATGGAAAATAACCTGTGCAGCTTCATGTTTAAATGACCTGTGCAGCTTCATGTTTAAATGACCTGTGCAGCTTCATGTTTAGATGACCTGTGCAGCTTCATGTTTAAATTACCTGTGCAGCTTCATGTTTAGAAGACCTGTGCAGTTTCATGTTTAAATGACCTGTGTGGCTTCATGTTTAAATGACCTGTGCAGCTTCATGTTTAAATGACCTGTGTGGCTTGATGTTTAAATGACCTGTGCAGTTTCATGTTTAAATGACTTGTGTGGCTTCATGTTTAAATTACCTGTGTAGCTTCATGTTTAAATGACTTGTGTGGCTTCATGTTTAGATGACCTCTGCAGCTCGTACATCAGACTTCACATTTATTTGTCTCTGGTTTGCTTTTATCTGAAGGGACAGGTACAGATGTTTTATGCCTACAGCCACTTTTTCCCCATGTTGAACTCTGAATAATAGCTCTGAAATAAGCCAGAGTCTGTGTCTTTTTCTCTTTGCACTCTCTGCACCCGGCTTTCCTCTTTGTGACTGACAGCGGAGGACACGTGCGGTGGCACCCTGAGGGGCTCCAGCGGGCTCATCTCCAGCTTCGATTTCCCCAGCAGCGACTCCCTGGGCACTGGTGGAGGTGGAGGTGCTGGAGGTCTTGGGAGCAGTGGGGAGTGTAAGTGGACCATCCTGGCAGATCCCGGGGATACCATCTCCCTGGTGTTCACTGAATTTCAGATGGAGGAAAAGTCCGATTATCTGGAAGTGGAGGGATCTGAACCGCCAACCATATGGTGAGTTGAGCTGTGAGAAGGAACGAGGGCAGTGTTTGTATTTCAGTTGATGTACATAAATAGTTTTAGTGTAACTGCACGTTGGTATGTTTGAATGTTTATAGTGTGAGGAGGCTGCATTTTATTACAGTTTTCTTTACCTTAATGTCAGGTGGAGACTACATATCATGAAGTAAAATATTTCTAGTACTTTACTGTAGTAAAGCTGTGAAATCATGACCTATATTCTATAGTTAAAAAATCCTGAGATTTTAGGACTTTTATCACAAAATTATTGAAGTTACTCAAATATTATTATGAAGTCAGTTTTGTACTTTCACTAGAGTAGGTTTCAGTGAAGAAAAGTAATTAAAGTGTATTTATGTTGCACAATATCACATAGTGTTTCCACAGGCTTTACAGGCCCACAGCTGCAATTCCACACCCAGACCAAACGTTCAAAGCTTTGCATATAAGAAAAAAGGATGAGATGCAAAGACAGAATCTTTATCATTTTAATGGCTGGGAATGCAAAGAGCTGCAGGATGGGAAAACAGCAATCGCAAAAAGTAAACAGGAAGTTGTAATAGTTGGTGTAATAAAGCATAGCTGTAGGGTTAAAATCCAGTAATAAAATTATGTTTGGTCAGTAATATAATCTACCTAGCGAGTAATTTATGTGTGGGACGATGTGTAATCATAAAAACAGAAGTTAATGGGCACTCAGAGAGAGAACAAATACTTTTGGTCTTTAGATTTACTGATTGTAGGAGAGTTGGCAGCTCTGAGTTAATTCCAAAGCAGGGGGGGTTCAAGGCTGTATTGCCTAAGGCTTCTGTCTTAGTTCTTTGGATAACGAGGAGGTCTGCCTGCTAAGATTTCAAAGCATGTAAAGGAACAAAGGTTCAGTATGTATGGTTGATTGTGACCATGTAATTTTTTTATAGGATCAGGTCTTTAAAGTCAGCTGCATGCATTGGAAGCTACAGCATAGGGAAGCTAGCCACCTTTTAATGACTTTTCTCTGATATTTGCATGCACACAACAATTTGAATATTCCATGTGGTTCTAAATGAATTAATTTAAGTCAAGTCACAGAGAAGGTACGAGATTCTCTGTTGCATAATTCTGATTTGGTTTAAAAAGCAGCTTTCAGACACTTTCATTTATGGCTTTCTTGTAGGCTTAATTTAGAAGTCACTCTCAACTGAAACAAGGAAATATGAAATGGGTTTGACCCCCAACCTTGGAGATAAGGTTATCCGTCTCCTCTGCGTCCTGTGCAAATGGGAGCATCCACCAGGTTTAAGTGATCCTGTCGGGCATTCATTATAATTGTCTGAAAGAAGCTCTAATCAGTCACTGAGCTTCAAGCTTTGTTGTCCCTGAGAGTTGTCATCTGGAGTTGGAGAGGAAGGCAGACACTGTGTCAGTGAGCGAGAGAAAGATAGAGAGAGTGAACAGGAGCGGTGCTCAGAGTGTGCCAATAACTACTAAGTATTATATTGTTGACACAGCTAAAGAGAGTGTGACAGTGAGATGACACTGATGTGTTTTGACAGACCATCAGGTAACCCGCCCTGAAGTATAACAGTTTTAAAATGAACTCTTGTGTCTACTGCTGTATACAGAATTAAAGAAAATGGTTCTATGTGCTTACATTTTTAATTATATTTCATTTCTGTTTATGTTCCGTTTTTGTTTTCTGATCAGAAAAGACCGACTTCTGTCCTCGACTCCTCATGTTAACATATTGGCGAGGTCATGGTGGCCTCAAAAACATGTTTTGGGCCTCTTGAATGTGATATATAAAACCGTCTTGAGGTCCTTTCTTCATTTTTCAATAAGTTGTCACTAGGACTCAAAGATAAAGTAATTATGTTTCAGTGGTCAAGGGTAAAGGTCACGGTGACTTTATATGAATCTGGAAAAAAATAAGTAAAAATATATTCACGGAAACTGCATCAATTGGTGGAGGCATACAACCACAGTGCGGTTCTTCTAGTTAATAAATAAAATATAGAGTTGAATATATGGTTACATTTGTATCTTAGATTTCCCATCATCATGTCTGCTGTTAAACTCGTACAATTCTGTGTGAATAAAAATATTAATTTCAGTTTCTGTTCCAGTGTAGTGTCTAAAGAGGAGAACAACTACACAGTGTTTATTTATTTATCAGGTTAAACAAGCAGCACATTTTTTTGTTGGCGTTTCACTTGTGAATGCGATGAGCAGCCACCAGTCATCACTTGAATTCTTTGAAACTCCAAAATGATGTTTTTCCATGTCACCAAATGTCAAAAGATGTCAGGCAGAGTTTTTTTAAGCCCCTGCAATCCAGTGAGCTGAAGTGCAGTGGGGCCGTAATTTTAGAGAGATGGCTTCGACTCAGCCAGGTAAACAAACAGACAAGCAAACAAACACGATTCAAAGCGAGCAATTCTGTCATGCACATAAAATTCATTGCTCTTGCTCCCCCTCTTTTTATGTGTGTCTATGACTGTGTACAAGGCCATTGGACAGCTAAACTTTCAAGCGTCCTAACATATAGCACCAGCTGCGCTCGGAGACAAGCAAACTGTCAATTTACCCTTGAGCTTTAGAAGTGCTTAACGACGATTGACAGCCAGGAAGCTCCAAGTCAGAGAGATTTATCTCCTCTTAGCCTTTTTTAGGCAAATAGCTGTAAAGCCTGACCCAATTTCACTTGTTATCCTCCCGTAACCTGTGCTAATGCAGATGGTTATCAAGTATTAAACACGAGTAAAAAAAAAAAATGGATGGCAAAAATGACTTTGCACATTAAGAAACTTTCATCCCTGACAAAATAATTAATTTTGTGTTGGGTAATAACTCCACTTCACAGTAATTATTCTGAACATGATTAACAATTGGATCAACAAATATATTCCACAAAGAGATTAAAAGAAAAAAAGTAGAATAAATAAGTGCAATCACATTAAATGCAGATTCCTCCATGCAGGGAACACTGAATGGTTTAGGAGTAGGGCAAGTTGGGATACGTTAGCTTTGTAAATATGTCAGTTTGAAATGTTTATGGGAAAGTTATGGAGGAGCTTTGGGAGACGGTGGCAGTGATATTTCTCTATGTCCCAAATTAACACTTTGAAGGCAGTTTGTTTGAATGCTTCAATCACTAATAGTCTTAACAGTCTGCAGCGCTCAACCATTGGAATGATGTGTTAGACAGCTCTTACCAGATTCCTGGATGGGTCCATTTTTAGCAAACGGGCACCAACAAAGCTCCATACCATACCCGACCCGTCACCTATGATTAAACACACACACATACATACACAGTCACTTACATCAAATACGTTTTTGGCCCTCTTGTCCTCCAGTTTGCCAATGTACCTCGTCCAGGCTATCAAAAGCTAATTACTTAATTACTTAAGTTCTCACCGGCTGCCTGACGTTTTTACCTGTGTCTGTACCTGAGAATTTGTTATTTTAAGTGGTACCCGACCTGGTAGGACTCTTGCTTGAAGTAAAATAATATATTTTGATTATAAATTTAAAGTTATGTATAGTATAAAATGGAAAACATAGTAACATTTGAACAGTCCAATGTTGCCAACCAGTTTTCTTAAAGTAGATGATAGATGATTGCTAATTCTAAAAAAACAACATCTGATAGTTGAAAGTCCACAAAATCCAGGTCCTTGGGGCATGAAAATATATTTTGCTGACATATCTTAGCAGCTTTTATCCTTTTCATCCATTGAAGATTTCTATCAGATCTCTGCAAATTAGTTTATTGATTCCATCGCTGTCACGCTGAGGAAGGTTGATGTGAGGCTTCACATCAATCACAGTGGGAATAGACAAAAAAAATAAATCTGTTTCCTTTTTACAAAAGCCAACATAGGAGTCTTTCTCAACCAAGAAAAACAGTTCTTTTCTATTCATCTGACCTTTTATATGATTGTCCAGCCTTGTTCACAAAGGGCAAAAACAACAAGCTGTGGATTACATGTCACTCATTATATCAGATGTGGACACGAGGCATAAAACCTTGAAGGCTTTGTGGATATGAGATACGGTGTTTTACCTACACATTGTGGAAGTCAATCCAAAAATGTTCTACTTTTTATATCATCCAGTGTCTCTTCATATTTTCCTGATTAGCATTGATTCTGCATGTTGTAAACCTGCTTAAAAAAAGCTGAGAGTCCAGGAAAGACTGTTTGTTCACTGAGCAATCTGGAAACGTCTTGCTTGGTTCACTGAATATGAACACTGGCTAAATGCTTCTCAGAGGAAGATTACAATATTCAAAGCAGGTTGAAATTACCATATGTATTAGATTCAATTTCTTCTTTCTGGGATTTATTATTGATCTTCCCAGGCAAAATATCAAAATGCCTCCAAGACGTGCTCTTCTCCGATCAGAGTCGGAGGAAGGCAATCTTTAATCGAAAGTATGTGAATTGACAGTCGACCCAGGTATTTCACCAGGGCAATTAATGTAAGAGGCTACTGGGTATACAGTGACTGCATGGCTCACTGTTTTCAGAAGCCAATCTGCTGGCTGACAGGCACCAAGCTGTATAAGCACATCTCCTGAACAGCCTCTGAAGAGGGAGTAATTTGATGAAGGATAGAGAGCACATAAAATATTCTTACAAATACTCCCTGTTGTCAGATTTTATAGAATGTGTGTGGGAGTAAAAGCCAAAATCACCAGGCCTTATCTTTTTTGACAAATTTGAATTGATCGCTCATTATCTGAGGTGCACCTACGTATACGCTGCCTCTGTGAAGCAGAGTCGACGCACTCAGGATTTCAGATTATCACTCTGGCCTCAAGGCCACATTTGGCCACCGTACCTGATCATTGGGAGTCCTTATGTTGGTATTTTTCATGAGATTGCCATGCTCCCTTCAACCCCTCATTCTACCAAATTAGCCACGTTATTCTCCAACTTTATGAAAACTCCTCAATGTGCTTCACAAACTGACATTCGAATTTACCATTAGTCCTGGTGAAGCCCCAATGATATGAAGAGTTTTAAAACTTTGATGAAACCAAGCACATAAAAAACTGCACTCATGCCAAGAAGTAATCTCCCAAAAACCATATTGCATATCTATGATGGACCAAATATACAGCCTAAGTGAGCCCTCAGAGATAGGATGACGCATTATGTGAGGAATCCATTTTTTCCCAATTGGACTTTCTCATCTTTTATCGCTGGGTATGCACTGGAGGAGATACAATAAGAAAACAGTAGACAGCACTCACTTGTTCTTATCTATTTTAAAGAGACTGGGCTGCCCATTTTCCACAAGTAATGCATTTGTTTCCATGACACTAACAATGACAAGTAGCAGTGATGTGCATCAATATTTCGTGAGGTTGTGTGAATTATTTTGTGCAACCATTCAGCTGCTGTTGAAGTTTTATCACAAACTGGACATACAAAGACAACTTGAGAAACAAAATGGTGTGATGTCAGTGATCGGTCACGGAACGTTTTCACTGACATGACGCAGCATTTAATATCTTGACCTATGCAGTCATGAGCACATTCAGGCACACAAGTCATCAATTTCTCAGGTCACATCTGATGCTGTAAGTCTTCTTTCTTTGATGGCTTCCAGCCTATGTGCACATTTGTGTTCATTTGGGAGAACAGTTGCTGAAGGGAGTGGTGAGTCTATTCCCGCTTTGGAAACCAGGCATCAAAAATATATTTCTTCACTTTGTACTTGAATGTAACAGGGGGAATTATGCATGCAGGGTTGTATTGGATAAATCAGTAGTTTGCTTTCTATAAATACAAATAATAACCATTGGAGAAAGTCCTCTGTCATCAAGGCTTTATTTACAGTTGAGGACACATCATGTTTCACTTGCCCTGCCATTCTGTGCCATTATGACAGCTATATATTCACCTCTGCTGGTCCCAAATTCGTAACATCACTCCTGTGCTGCCTGGAGTGTCCGAGCTCTTTCCTGATGGGTATAGCTTTATTGTCACTATCCATTTTCTTTAAGACTTCAGGCAGAAATTTTGTGATAATTTGCAGCTTCCACTGCAGGAAACTTGTAGGCAGTTTCCTCTGCATAGTTCAGCCACTTGAAGGCTGTTCTTTTTCATTCTGCCCCATACAGCAGGTTCATTAGCATTTTATCAATGATGCAATGTAAGAAAAGGTCAGCTTTTGTTTGAAAATCAATTAACTTTTAATTCCCCCATGATAGCTGCGGTCATCTCCCCTGACGATGGATAAATTGAAATAAAAACACTATATAAGTATTTCAAAAAATCACATGCAGTTTGCTAATCAATTAAAATTCAACATGTGACAACATTTAATCTGTCTGATAGATGCATTTTATGTTTCTTTCAGCCTGTCCCAAGTCTCTGTTTAAAAGCTACAGTGGCATTGTACGTTATTAACTGTGGTACGACAGGGTACGGTGCAGGAACAGAAAGGCAATTGAAAAAAAAGTGAGCTGGTTAGCCAGACAATCGAGAAGGCCCCTGGCAGCTTTCAATCTCTATGATTATTGAGTGTGTCTGATGGTATGGCCACACGCTGAATACAACTTGTGCTTTAAAGCGCTGAAGTCAATATTAAGAAAGACACACAGAGACAGCCTCATATATGATGATACATGCATGCACATATACAGTAGGTAAAGCATACAGACCTTTCTATACAGACCTTTCTCCTAACATGTGTCCAGTCTGTTTGGTTGAGTTAAAGCATGATACTCAAGCAATGGGCATCTCATCACTTGCTGGGGGAAGAATCCACCCACTGGAGCCTTTGTTTCTCGGAAATGGAATGACGCATTTGAAGCAGGCTTGTGATGCAATTAGTCTTCAAATATAGCCGCCAAAGAATGCAGCCCCTGAATACAGCCCCTGAATACAGACACAGCCTATTTGTCTTACCACTTTAAAAATACACACACACACGGATTTCAATGACCGGAAAGCTACCTGTTTGAAATAAAGTTAATACAATTAACACAAGTTTTCTTTTATTTGTGACTACTTCCACTCAGGATGACTGGGATGAACATTCCAGCTCCCATCATCAGCAACAAAAACTGGCTACGGCTCCATTTTGTGACAGAGAGCAACCACCGCCACAAAGGCTTCAGGGCTCAGTATCAAGGTAAGACACGATTACTTAATTTGCACATGGTAATAGACGGTCCCCTTCTCGTGGAGAAACACGGTGTAATTACAAAACATTTTTTGATCTTTGTTAACTGAATATTAAACAGTTTGATTAATGCCCCTCTGCAGAGGGCACTGATGCCTTTTCAGCTTCAAACCATTGACTTCAAAGGACTAAGTTAATCAAATATTTGAGAGATAAATTCTGTATATACTCTACTACTTCCTCTGATAAAAGTCAGCTCCAGGAGCTCAGTAATCCATTGCCCTCACATTGTTCTCTGGCTTGGCTTTAAAGTTAGCGTCTGTGCCTCATATGCTATAACACAGAGGCTTAAAGCTTGGCCCCAAGCCAGATAATAAACCTGAAACTTTACCATAACCAGCTCTGTAAAAACTTTCAATAAAGTGCATGTGTGGCAATACAGTAAATGGAAGACATAAAATCAATTGCATGAAAAATCACATTTCTCATCTTTTGCAGTGTCTTGTTGTGCAGTGGTTGAGCTTTTATTGTTGAGTTTATTTTTAATACAAATAGGAGATACTTTCAAGTGAAGAGAAGAGCTGAGTGCAGTGTGCAGTTGAATAGTCCTCATGTGGTCGGTAAAGGCATTTGACCCAATGCAATAGCATGTCTTGCTTGATGCATCATTAATTGCTTTTGGATATTCTGTTGATAGATCATAATTATGACAGCTACTTGCATTACCTGGCATTTGTGTGCAATCCAGCGCCCGCTGTGTTTAATAAGACGATGTTAAGTTTTGTAGAATTGCCGGTCTTGTTCTCCCCTTTGATTCTGCGTGATATTTCACCCCCACACGCTATAACCGTTAAATCTGCTCTGACCAATCAATTTCAATCCTCTGTTTAATATATCTGATTTATATGAACAGACAAACATGAAAAACTAATTTAGAGTTTGTAGAATTGCCAAGGTATCCCTTAGGAAAGCATCAGGGCCATTGAATTCATATCTTCAGAGAAAAGATCCACACCAGTAGCAATTACATGTTGATGTTCTTCAAAGGGCTGAATATTATCCAGAGAAAGAAACACTTGTACTGTATCTTCTCACATCTAATACTGTAACTTCTGTTATCTAATGAACTCTTTCTGTTGCTCTCAACCAGTGAAAAGCTCTGGAGAGCTTAAATCCAGAGGGGTAAAATTATTACCAGGAAAGGACAACACTAACAAACTGTCTTTGAGTAAGTCTTTTATTTTTCTTATGCAACTGTTTCATTGTTTGGATTTTTTGTTTATGTAGGACTTGCTTTCTTTCTTGTCTCTTTTTTTTTGCTGCATCATTTGGTGACGGAATTAAGATACAGTACTAGATTATGCAGAAGTGCAGTCTCTTTTTCTTTCTGGTACTCCGTATCCCCTGCAGTCCCGGACTTCCTGTCCTGATAGAACTGAATTCAGTTGGATCGGGATTAATAATTTATCTTGCAGCAAAATGCTAAATTTGATCAGCTACAAATACCCAAAACTTCCTGTGTCTCATTTTGCACTATTGAAGCAATGCATCAGGCTGACTTATGTTCATTCACTATGTGATCTATACACACACAGCGGTAGTCAAGGTTGAGTGACCTCTCACGCAGATGATTTGTGTACACTCAGACTGAATTGAACGCATTTTAATTGCTTGCGGAGCTCTGTCATTAACATAAATCAGAAACACAATTCCCTTTAACTCCACAGTGTGCTAAACATTCCAGTGATAACAGGTTGTAATCTTTATTACCTTATGTGTCATTGATTCTGCATTGCATGGAGACATGAATAATGCAAAGGGCTGTAATCTTTTTTAAGAGACAATACTGTATATCATTTAAAAGACTGAAGAGATGCTTCATTTGCCTTGTGGATTCATTGCATATAATTGAACTCATAACTGCATTATAACCCACAACAATTAACTTCAAAGCTAATGAACTTCCTGAAAGAAGTCAAAGGAGAAACCGCTTGCTGGTAGTACCATAGTAATATTAAAACAGATGGGTCTCTGTGTGGGTTGATGTCTTATCACAAATATTACAGCGAACCTTAAGGAAAATTGTGATACTACATATTTCATGAATTTCATTTCCAGTGCATCAGGTGTTTGATTTACAGATCAGAACATAGAGAGATGGCTTGATTCAAAACTTGCACCTTACATTCCTACAATGGTAAAGGTTATGAAACCATATCTGCAAGACTTTTTCTAACTCCAGCAATTGATAGTTAAAGGTCATTTTATCCTCTTATCCCCTGCCACGTCCAGATACATTTCCCTTTATATTGTCTAGTACAGGTAAGAGATTTGCTTTTACAAGGGTAAAACCCTTGGTACTCACAAATGTGTGTTTATAACAGTGCTGCCAAATAACTGGCAGTTGATACTCCCTGACATTGAGAGATGAGGTTGGTTTGTCCAACTACATGCGTGATTTCCTGGAAGCAAATTCTGTTATCAAACATAACAAACATTCAAAGTCAGATTTATCTATCCTCCGAGTGCTTTCCACTGCAGTGGGTGTTTTTTTCTGAAAGTATGACGCTTGGAAATTGAAAGTGTCTTTCTCACAGTGTTCTTGGTCCTTGTCTTTCTCACTCAGTGAATGAAGGAGGAATCAAACAGGTGTCTAATTACTGCCCTGACCCGGGGGAGCCGGAGAATGGCAAACGGATTGGCTCTGACTTCAGGTGATTTGGCGCCTCTGCAGCTGAAGTGAAGGAGCTTGGATTTAGAAAAACAGGCTCTCCAACCAAGTTATAACATCCAGTAACTTGTTATATCACTGCCATAGTATATGTATTTACAATTTACATCAGCCATGGAGAATCCTCTTGTGAATATAATCTATCTCTTAAAAAAAATCACAATATCCACATACTATATTGTATTTCAGGGGAGAACACAAATATCAATTTTAAGACAGTTTACTTTGGCATTTAACAAACGTTGTATACATCTTTGATTGTCTTGTGAGTCGAACAGAATACTAATAGTACAGTTTTAGAAACCATCTCTTAATGAGCCTGTTGCACCAGAGATTTAGTTACTTGTGCCACAAGTGAGTTTATGTTTCTCTGTCCATAAAAAATATAAAATTATATACGCTCCGAGCCTAAGTGTCTCCTGACCCAGTGGACTCACAGTCTAGACATAGTGGGCTGTATGTAAGTATGGAAAATAAGGGTGGTTCAATTTGCCAATTTATCTACTGAATGGAATGTATTGATCCACTGTCCCATATGAACCTGTAATGAATGACATGAAAAATAATGCATCTCATATTTGATCAGGAGTCATATTTGAGGCATTGATTGCTTTTCCAGGCACTAACAGTGTTTGTTATCTTCTCAGCATCGGAGCAACTGCTCAATTTACCTGTGATGAAGACCATGTGCTGCAGGGTTCCAAAACGATTACCTGCCAGCGTGTAGCCGAAGTCTTCGCTGCTTGGAGCGACCACAGACCCGTCTGCAAGGGTGAGCAAGGCTACTGAAGAGCTAATAATAAAACAGTTTGATTAAGGCAGTGCCTCTGGATACAGGCTCAATGCGGATAGAGGACAGTTTATTTCTTAATTATGTATGAAAGCCTTTGCTGCAGCACTCTACGTTTTCATTTCCAAAATGCTCTGCCTGTTTTTCTATGTTTCATAATAACTTGAGCACCTTTTAGGACTTGATTAATGGAAATGCAGCTCATAGACCTTCTATAAACAATAAATTACCCTTCTATCGTGTTACAATGCAGGAATTATTACTCTGGCTTTCCATAAATATTTATTGTAAATTTAGAAGTCCTATTTCTGACTTGTAGATATTGTAGATTATTTACACTATGCATACTGAACATTGATATATTATTAATGTATATATTTGTGTTCAACGTTATTTTGAATCTTTCTTATATGCATTGTCTGTGTCTCCATGTTTATCTTTATATGGCTGCAGTGAAAACGTGTGGGTCAAATCTACAGGGACCATCAGGGACCTTCACATCCCCTAACTTCCCTATCCAGTATGAGAGTAATTCCCAGTGTGTGTGGATCATCACAGCCAGTGATCCAAACAAGGTATCCCAACAATATTACAACCTGACTTGTTTCTCTCCTCTGATGGTTTGAGTCACACATTCATATCTGCTTCACAGCATAATTAAAGCAGTTGCACTCTAAATAAAGATGAAATAATCACTTTACAAGCTCCATTTATCGAAGAAATCCCAGAGAGCTCAAAGAAGAGTTAAAATAAGTGGTCCCACTTGTATTTTTGCTTAACAAGTGTAACAGTTCCCCATTAGTTGTAGAGTCAATACAAATAGGCAATCTTCTGTTGCACCATGAGTGAACCTTCACCTTTTACATTAGAACATGCAGTATTTGTCCAGGCACTCCCTTTCTGTATCTGTATTATAAGTGCATTTATTTTCCAACGGCTTCCCATGGTGGGAAAAGGTTACATAGAAAATGCATGTGTTTTGACTTAAGCTCATCGTGAGTGTCACTCATTAATATATTAGCTGCACCGGGATCCCATTTTCGGTTCTCACTACGCCACCAGTGTATCCGTGGCTGGTGGTAATTGAGCGATTCACTTCATTCATCTGGGTAAACAGAAATGGAGAGAAATAATGATTAAATGAGACCAGCTTTTCCCCAAAGTGAAGAGGTCAAAGCTGTTTTCCTAATGGTCATTACTGCTCTTCTGCATCAAATTTGTCTCTATTGGTATTCTGTCCAGTGAGTCATATACACAGGGGTGTCATCTAAGTACTATCCTGTTTATAAACAATAACCAACTAGTGCTCATTTAGAAGTCACCCTCTCCAAGTCAAACAAGCCATTTTCTTGGCACCGAAACTTGGTCCATTAGTGATATTATGGTAATCATGTGTATGAGTGCATTGTGTTGAAGATGTTACACGTGGATGTTGGGCAGACATTTTCCTGCCATGACCAGAAAAGATAACGCTAAGGATGAGCACTCACCATCAATATTCATGTCAGTACAGTACATCTTCTTTTCATCACTAATCCATACAGGCAAAGTGAAGGCTGAGGTAATGTGGTTTTATTGTGTAATGTCTCTGCAGTAGATTAATGGTTAGTATTAGTCTAGGCAGATGTTGCCAGTTTGATTTGTGAAAATATCATCTTTTGTGACATTGTATACATGTGTTAAGGAAATAAAAGATGTACCATTGACAGCTGACTCCACAGGATTAGTGTGGACATGCAGTGGACAATGTGGGACTATTGAATTACCTCGTTATTAATGGCTCTTATTATTTGATTTGACAGTTTGCAGAAACAGTGCTGTTAGTTTCTATAGAACTTTGATGGATGTTTATGATGTATGGCATGGATGTGAAGTCTTTGTCAAAGCCTTATTTTGTAAACCCTCAAAAATCTCATGAAAGTTAAGTCTTTTTGTTTGTCTTCCATTTTTAGTGGTAGTTTCTGCATATTTTATACAAATACTAGAGCAATTTGCATATTATGCAGCAATCTGAAGTACGAGGTGGAAAAAGAATGTCTTGGTTTTTTAAAGCATTGTTTGCTGTCTGCTTGTAAAAATGTGTATGGCATTACACAGACTCTCTTTTAACAGGCTTGTCTTTCAACGTTTAGTTGTCTCCATAATCAGATTCTCCAAAGACATGGAAATGAGTATAGGGTAAAACATTAATATTCTGAGCTGGTGAAGTGATGTTCACAAATAATTTCACGGCCTGCAGATGTCTATCACCTTTTATGTGCATATGAAAAATGCTTTCTAAATGTTAATTCTAAGTGTGTGAATTTGTAAAACACAAAAAAGTCTTACAAATTCAAATTTGAATGTGTAATAAAGTTTTGTGTGCATGTATAACAAGAGTCATCAGAAGATATCGTATTCCCCGGGCAACCCTAAAAATATCCACAAGCAAAACTTCACAACCCAATTAACATAATAACAAAGTTTTCCATTCGTGCTGCGGATGCACAAACAGACATATTGATCATGAAATCCATGCCACAGCATATGCAGGGGGGGAATGCATTCATGTATTTGAATGTGCAGATTTGTAAAACAAAATTAACTGTCAAATTTAAGTTTGTAGATTTATAATTAATTTTTTGAAATACAGAAATGGTTTTTGTGAAAACAACCCTTATTTTACTCTCATCTAATTGAGAGCGTTTGGTTTATATACATGACTACCATGAATAAGATTGAATGTATTTGACTTTTAGTTTTAGCAAATTCTGCTGTTTCAAATTTGTGTTTTCCAGGGGTTTTGGAATGTTGTTGGTTCTCTGTACTCTGCTTTATTTTAAATGAGGTCTTTACCTCAATGTATTCCTAAGTTCATGTAAAGGTTTAATAATTCTATTTATTGGCAAAGACATATTTAACATGTCACTGCATGTACACACACGTTCTGCACTGCATGTGAGTTTTGCCTCTTTGCATGTTAACTAAGCAAACTTTAAATTTTGTGTTCCACAAAAGGTTATTCAAATCAACTTTGAAGAGTTTGACCTTGAAATTGGGTATGATTCACTAACCATAGGAGATGGAGGGGAAGTAGGTGACTCCAAAACAATAATACAAGTGTAAGTACTGTTGAAATACCTCATTGAATATATTATTGTACCATACAATTACAGTTACATGTTGCAGACCTGGTTAGTGATAGGTTTTTATGTGTTTGATGTGTCTTCTTTGCTGCCCTGTCTGCAGGCTGACTGGGAGCTTTGTCCCAGACTTGATTGTCAGCATGTCCCATCAGATGTGGCTTCATCTCCAGTCTGATGAGAGTGTGGGCTCGATTGGCTTCAAGATCAACTATAAAGGTAGAGAGAATTTGGTGCTGATATCATCTCTGATTGTCTGTACTCATGTCTGTGTCACTTTCTGTTTTCCTTTCTGCCTTTCGGTCATTCTATCTGCCTCCCTGTCTCCCACTTTCTTCTATATCTTCTTCAAAAACAGGTTTCCAGCCTTTTACCTGGACTTTTATAGATGATAAAGAGGAAAAAGATGCATTGTATTTAAAAGTGCAAGTATTGCTTGACTTTATCTTCAACCCCCCCTCCCCTCCCATTTCCATCCCTCCCCTCTCTTCCTCTCCTCTCATCCACAGAAATTGACAAAGAGAGTTGCGGTGACCCTGGTACACCTCTGTACGGCTACCAAGATGGTAGTGGCTTTTTAAATGGTGATGTTCTGCGCTTTGAATGCCAGTTTGGATTCGAGCTCATAGGGGAGAGGATGATAACCTGCCAGAACAACAATCAGTGGTCGGCTAATATCCCCATCTGCATATGTGAGTCCAGCGCTGACTTGTTGTCATGACAGCTAATGAAGCAATTACTTATGCTCTTGGAAAGTTCACAATGACATTAAACTAGTGAAGGATTAATTGCATAGTTGTTAAATGACCATGCAGTGCATTATGTGTAAACAGCAATATACATAATGTAAAATAGGAAATTGATAGCATATGCTTGCCTCGTTATTTGAAGTTGATTTGTAAAAGAAGTACATAGGTAACACACTGTTGTAATGTACAAATACTCTGGAGAAGTGAAACCTACATTATTCTGTAAATAGTCTTTTCTTGAAATAAGAAAATACCAAATATAACAAACCCACAACAAAAATGTCTTCTCTTGTGTTGAGTTATCTGGGTCCATAGGGAAAGTGTATAGTAATCATGGGCACCTATATTGCTCTATGTCTGTATTTTTGTGTATTCTATGTTCAAACCCGTTACAGTTTCCTGTTTCTCCAACTACTCAGCACCCATGGGATCTGTGCTGTCCCCTGATTGCTGGGGTGGTTAAACAGTTCTGACATTGTTCTATACTGCTCTATGTGCATGATCCTATCATGGCAGAATCCACAGTGTAGATGGTCATGTGTTTTTTAATTGCTGCTTATATATTTTTCACTCTCCATTACACAGTCCCCTGTTTCTCCAACTTCACTGCCCCCATGGGGACGGTGTTGTCTCCTGACTACCCAGAAGGCTATGGGAACAACCTCAACTGTGTGTGGCTGATTATCTCTGAGCCGGGCTCCAGAATCCACCTGGCCTTTAATGACTTTGACCTGGAGCCCCCCTATGACTTCCTCACTATCAAAGATGGGGACCAGTTAGGGGCCACAATACTCGGACGCTTCTCAGGGGCTGAAGTTCCTTCCCACCTGACGTCCAACAGCAACGTACTGCAGCTAGAGTTTCAGGCTGATCACTCTATGTCTGGACGGGGCTTCAATATCACCTATAGCAGTAAGTGACTGTTTGATCAGTTTAATTTCAACAATCATAGCAATTTGTATCAGCATTATAAGTGAATACAAGCACCTGCCTTTTTCTATTTGAGGTTAGAGATCATTTCTACTGCTTTTACGTATGTCTTTGTCAAATAATGTAACCTTCCCTGCCCATATACTTATATGGGTCCTTTACATTTGCTTGGTTGTTCAGCAACAAATCCACTAGAGTGTAGCTTATAGTCTAGAGATTCTGACAACAGTTGAGAAGATTACTTTGATGTACCTCTTAAGAAAGAGGCAGTTTTTCCCTTTGCTTGGGTAAAGATGCCTGCAGTTTCTTACTACTCAAAAAGTACCACCATTGTTGAAATGTATTTCATGCATTTTAATTATTTAGCTTTCAGAAAATGTCCAGAACAACAGACAAAATGAATGTAGGGTACGGACAGAAGGCTCCATCCGTTTACTTATCTAATGTTAAGCATAAATGAGGCTCTAGGGATCAGTGTCATGAGACCCAGGACTGATCTGTTGAATATATACACAATTTAAGAATGAATAAAATATTTTCTAAAGCAGTAGCAATTCAATTTTTATGCAATTAATGTCTGACTAGTTATATTTAATTAAGTTCAACAGCGCTTATATTTTTGTGAATGTTCCATTTACCATCAATACTCTAGTTCTTTTGTGAGTTTTTTTAATGATTGCTTTTAGCAAAAGCTATTCTCCATAGGGACCCAAAGTGCCTTAAGAAACAACAGCATTTAGGGCATTTCTCTTTGTGTGAAACTCATTATCTAATGCAGCACCACTGTAGTTATTTTCTCCTGGTGAGGTACTTAAAGTTCTAAAGATGCAGGCTATTGTCACCCTGACGTTCGCAAAGTAGTCTTCTATTTTTTCTCTCCCACGGACAGCTACATCCATTTCCCTTATCTACCTACTCCTCACAGACCCCATTCCTCATTCACACAACAATGTTTGTCACTAGATCTTGTTCTCTTTCTTCTCATTACAAGCTTTTGGGCGTAATGAGTGCCCTGACCCTGGCATACCGTTGAATGCCAGACGCTTTGGGGACAGCTTCCAACTAGGGAGCTCCATCTCCGTGGTTTGTGAAGAGGGCTTCATCAAAACGCAGGGGGCTGACACCATCACATGCCATCTGGAGGAAAGCAAAGTGATGTGGAGTGGACTCATTCCCAAATGTGAAGGTACTGAAATGGAATGGCCAATAGTTTTGTGTGGTTGTTAGACAGATAGACCAACTATTGAGTAAGGAAGAGAGAAAACACAACAGAGGGAATTTTGATGAAAAAGTGAGTGGGTTATGTGGAACACACAGCTCAGTGTCCGCCCATACTAGGCTACATTTATCTTCTTTTCAGGTGCTTGTGTAACTCCAGTCCTTTGGTGACTCATCCTATATTTTCTTTCAGTGTTATTTATTTTGCTTGAAAAAGATTACTGAGTGTTAGCATCTTTAAAACCACTACTTTACGTCTCCATCCATCCCCCACCCATGTTTGCTCTTTCTGCCACACCCACATAAACTTAACCTCCCCACCCTCCCCACCATTTTTCCACATCTCTGCTCCTCCAGCTCCTTGTGGTGGTCACTACTCTGGTCCATCTGGTGTCATCCTGTCCCCGGGGTGGCCAGGCTACTACAAAGACTCGCTTAGTTGTGAGTGGGTCATTGAGGCTGAACCTGGCCGTTCCATCAAGATCAGCTTTGACAGGTTTGTATGACAGTGCTGCAGCAACTCTGCCGTGGGAACAAAGATACACACACTCAGTCAAAGACACAGGCAAAGAACTGAAAGCCCAAAATCCCTCATATACTTCTTCACATACTGTACTGCATGTAAGAACTAGAGGCGGTACCTTTAATCTGCGGTAGAAACAGACAGTTACAGGAGGTGGAACGCAGACCTGTAATCAGTTTCCAAAAATGTCTGAAGCCTTAAATAACTTTTTAATTTACTTACTGGCTGCTGCTCACTTCCAGATTGCAGCAATAAAAAGAAAAAAGTCCTACTCTAAAATCTTTTTTTCGTAAATTAAAAAACCCAAACCATAAAATCTTCATATTTTATAGCCATTGCTTGAAATGAGCCAAATTTTTTGTCCCTCTCTTGCTTGAAATGAGCTAGTGTTCTTGCGCCTCATTAATGCAGTTTATATTAATTTTATACAGGAAGTAGTACGTTTCTTTTTTTCCATAGTCTTTGCTTTAATAGCAAAGAGAGGCTTGGATTTTTAGGCCTCTGTGCCAACAAGGGCCATAGTTAGAGACATTATGTTTTCAGTCTGTCTTTGTCCATCTGTCTCATTCTCGTGAATGTGATGTGTCAAAAATGCCTAGAGGGATTTTTTTTTTTTATTTGGCACAAAATGTCTAAGACAGGCCATTATATAACCATAAGTTCACTGGTAGGTGAAGACATACAACCATTAGGCAGTAATTCGAGTCTCTTTATGAAAATGTCTGAAAGTATTTTTCCACAATATAATGTGGATATTAGAACTCTGTGTTGATGTCACCTGTCTGATGATTATGGACCCGAGGGTGACCACAGATCCATACCATATCAGAGCTCCAAGATCTTATTGATCTTATACTATTGCATAATCGGAACTTTCTGTTTAGGCTTTGTCTCCTCATCTATCTTGTCAAAATCAGAATATGTCCTCAGTCGACAGAACAGACTAATTGTTTTTTAAATGGTGCAATCCGTCAAACAAGAAGTGATATCCAGAATACAAATAATGGTATCCTCTGCTTCTCTCTCTTTGCCTTTTACTTTGAAGGTTTCAAACTGAACTGAGCTACGACTTCCTGGAAGTGCATGATGGTCCCAACCTGCTCTCACCTCTGATTGGCTCATTTAATGGAACCCAGGTCCCTCAGTTCCTGTTTGGTAGCAGTAACTTCCTGTACATGCTTTTCACCACCGATAACAGTCGATCAAACAGTGGCTTCAAGATCTTCTACGAAGGTAAGAGTGGAATGCTGTGGGTGCAGGAGTTATGAATAACATTTTTGGAGCAATACAAGCACACGAGTGTTATCATAACAACTTGGCTCAATGAGCTGTGGCTCTCAGGATGAAATTATTTTATTCAGCTAGGGTTCAGAAATAAAAATTGATGAGTGAGACTGCAAAATATTGAAGACTGCTTTTTGTTTTTAGGGGGGGACCAAGGTCAATGCTGCAATTGTGAATATTATGTTGTCCCATAAACTGATGACTCTTCACACCATTATTTCAGGCAGAGCAGAAGTTTAAAAACCCCACTCTTTGCATGTTAATAGGGTCTGTAGTGTGAGAGGTTAAATCACTGTAGCTCATTAAATACACCCTGTGTTGTAATTGTAAAAAATGCTAAAAGACAGTAGCAGTAATGTGACTAAAAGTGTGCATACAAGATGGTTTAGTTAAAATATATTTGTCTGCAGTTGTGATCCCAGATGGTAGTATGCCTATGATGGATGAAAACTGGTGGAAAGGCCGGCTGGTCCACTAGATAGCACAAAGGTTCCTAGAATCTTAAATGGAATGTGATTGAGAACCAGAGCTAATTTGGTAGAAAGTGTCCTGTGTCCCAGCATAATGCTCTATGGCCAATTACAGCCAAACCTCTCCTCAAAAGAGGATAAGTCCAGGGCTTAATTTCCTGGTAAAATCTTCTTTCTAGTTGAGGGAGTTTGGGTTGAAAGCCTTTTCTTTCTTTTCACACCACTGTATGTGGAGGGGTAGTCTTTGAAAAATCAAATACAAAAATACTCCTGACAAAATGTAACTTATACTTACGGTTACTCACAGAAACACAATTTCTCCTGTCACTCAGATGTGTTTTATAGACAGACTTTGTCATTATGTCTATATTATTGACTGAAAGCAGAACATAAGTGTCTTTGTCTTATTATGTTTCACTCTCAAGTGTATTTCTCTTTTGTTAACGAGGCTATTGGAAAGCAATAACAGTAAGATCACATTAGCTTTTTCCATTGCAATTGAAGACATATGTTATTGCCGAAATGCTTCAGGGAAACCCAGCCTACTTCATTTGTGAAATTGGTCTAACAAAAAAGGGATGTAGTGAATTATGCTGTACATAAACTGAGGCACAGAGACACTGCATCATTCCTTATATGTGTAATGGATATTATATGTAATCACTAACAAAAAAGTACTACAAAGTGTTATCACATCATATGTATTGCACAATATTTTTAAGTTTCCTTCTTGGTTGTGATTTGTAGATATAGAAATAAAGATAATCGTAATTCCTGCACCCTAGAGACCAGTAGCAGCAGTGATCTTTGAATGCTCTATTTCACTAATAAGTTCAAACTTCATGCATTTTCTTTGTTAAAAATATCAAGAAGAGCAAGACAAGTATTGTACAGAAGCCTCTAGCAAAACAGAAGAGGAACCCTGTTGTCTAACAATAATCTGTCAGGTTAGGCTGTTATAGATTGTTAACGTTGATAACATTAATCCATAGCTCAAACACATCTAGTATATAACGCAGTGTCATTTTATTACCCTGCTAACACTATAATTTCTAGTCAATGCCACATGGCAAAAATCAGCAAAACAAAATGTGTCTCACTGGACTGTTTATTACATTGGGGTGTTGAACCCTATAAGATCTTACAATATTTGTATGAGTGTGTTTATCAGATGGGATTTGATTGTGCTGTGGGTGTAATTTTACAGAAATAAATACATACACCACACACTGAAAAGGATATTATTTGCTGGCTTGTCTTAGTTCTTTGACAGGGTCACCTGAAACCTCTGACACTTTGACACTCTCAGACATCTAGAACCCCTTTCATCAAAACTAGTGACAAAATATTTTCATGTAAACACATGCAGTATGGGGGAAAAGTTTATTTGTCAGTTTCACCAAGTCCGTACCTCCTGCTCTCTCTCTATGCTTGTACTCCGTCTCATCACCTTGGCCATCTGCTTTTGACCTTCTCACAGTGCTAAACGTGCTTACATTTTTCCACAAAGGGATTGCATGAAGATGAAATCTTGTTTTCTTCAACACTAAAAGAGCTGTTTCAAAGTTATTCAGAGAGAAACTGTCAAACATCACTAATGCATCAATGCATTTGTCCATTTTTCTTCCATCTCGACTGTGTTGTGTATAAAATAGATTTTGCTATTGTCTGAAGTGCAAAATAAAAGTCAAAGTAAATATCTTATTTTAGAAAAGTTTCTTAAATAAATGTGCACTGAGACATGCTTTTTGCTTTGATGATTGTTACTAAAGATTCTGTTTGCACTCTTTCATATTTCTGTTCTGGCCTTAGACTGAACCGAATACCTTTTATTATAATTCATTGTTTTTTTTTCCGATGAATTTTGTTGTGAAGCACTTTGTAACCTTGTTTATATAAGTGCTATACAAATAAAGTTATTACTATTATTATTATTGACTGGAGGCATTCCGTCCATCGGTCTGTCTAAACTGCAATTTTGGTTGGTGGAGGCATACTACTGGGAGATGGTAACTCTAGTTATGTAAATGTAGCCTAAAGTCTTCACTGATTGCAAAAATAGAATTGGCATTTCATGTTTCCTAAATCTTGTATGATTTACCTCTGTAGCTCAACAGTCATGTTTTATTTGCTAGAGCAAACCTGTGTATAAATACTTAACAGAATCTGACATACTGTGTCTCAGAGGGGTCAAACAAAATAATCCATCCAGCCCTTATTTCTAGGGTTGAGGGGAGGGCCCAAAGCCATGCAAAATAATACTGTACTTAATACATGTACACATTTAAAACATGTGGTTTGGTATTTAATAATGCAGTTAGATTGAATTGCAAAGGCGACGTTGTACAGTTGTTTAAAGATACTTTCAAGAATTAATGGTTTGATGTCAATTTCTCCAGTGGTTACATTGGACACGTTCTCCTGCATGGATCCTGGTATTCCGGTGAACGGTGTGAGGTTGGCCCATGATCTGTCGATCGGCTCCACCGTTTCCTTCCAATGTGACCCAGGATACAGGCTGAGCCACGAGGAGCCACTGGTTTGTGAGAAGAACCACTTCTGGAGCCACCCACTGCCCTCTTGTGATGGTTCGTATACAGAAGTGTTCAATTTTGTGTAGCACATTCCAACACACAGATCAGTCACATCCATGAATTCATAACACTGCAAGTTTCTTTTCAGTGAATGTAAATCAATCAATTTTTAATGGATTTTTTTTAATGCTCTTGAAATGACACTGGATGACAAGATATAGTCCTTTTGAACGGTTCAGAGCTAAATGACCCCAAAAGACCATCCTTCTTGTCCTTGAAATATTTCATAAATGTTAAGTCTTTGAAAGTTTGTAGAATAATGGACATGACTATCATCTGAAGTCCTGATTGAATTTTATACATAACCAAATTACACAAGCGAGTGAGTTTCCCACAGCGGGTCGGACTGACCAGACAGATGATCGTCAAAGTACTTTTTGTTCAGCAAATAGACTCAGTCCGTGTGTGACAACTTACCTGGGGTGTTATGAATCATTTAAAACTGAAGACAGAGCATACTCAACTTCAAAGCATGAAGGTCAGCATGTTCCTGATAGTTCTTATATCTTGCATAATATCTCTCACGAGGTTGTGTTTGTACACTTTGAGCTTTTATGTGATTCAGAAGCACAATGAAGGACAGTTGAGGGGATTATTGTTGCAGTGTACATCCCGTAAATGATTCCCCTTACTCACGGATCACTCACTTGAAAGAATATAATGAATAAAATACATGCAAGAGTTGGCAAGACGCTCCGTAGCATGCATATGTTACAGTGCCGTTTCATGTAGCTTCAGCCCAATGATTGGCCTTGAAAAATTCATTTTAAATCTTGGAGCGTTTTCCTGACTAGGTGTGTGCCAGACTGGTGCCCAGTGCTTTGGCTCTTTGCCTACGGAGCATCTGAAGTAGATCCTTTGCCAAGTATACTCATCCACTTTTAATGACTTTATGTAATTTCGGTTCATTAATAAAATATTTGAAATAATTTTGTTGGTGGGTAAGGATTCAAGCCTTGATGTGTTGTGCACGCTGGAGGGCCCAAGGGTGGAAGGAGTGAGGAGAAGAGGAGGCTGGAAGTGTGCAGCTGTGGAGCCGCAGGCATCTCAGTGATCCTCCAAAACATCATCTGACATTCATTACTTTGAAAATATACATGCACAAGAGTTCTACTGCTAATATTTGTCAGCGCTTGATGTTTAGCATCCAGGCTCTTGGCTGCAATGCCACCTGGCACTCAGGCCAAGAACAAACTAACACGCACACACACAGACTTAAAGAAAGATGGGAAAAAGCTTGTCAAACTTCATCCATGCTTTTTTTTTTTTTTTAAGCAATGCCCTTTATGTGCAGTGGCATTTTAGCTGAAACCCAATGACAGGATAAGAGAATGGTTTGAGGTTTGAACAATATTCACTTAGACCAGTTAACCTTCAGACGGATCAAGTGCCCAGCAACTAACAAGGGTAGACCTTTATCTCATTAACTTCCCTTTATGAGATATGGAGCTTTAAATTATATGTCAATAGTCAACATGTATGAGAGTCACATAACTGAGAGGACACAACATTCCTATCGCCTCATCTGTAACTACTCAGCACAGCGGGCTGCTACTGGATTATCCTCAACGTAAAGAGTAGCTGGATAATGTGCTGGGATGTTTGTTTCTATTTGGAGAAAAATCCAAATCACTTTCAAATCTCTATCAAAATGAAACCAGATGCTCTAATCTGCTGAAAATGCTTGTCAGTAAATGTAATGGATTATCACATTTTCTGACAATGACTCTTAGTTTAAGATACCATAGTAGAAGAAAATATGGATGGATAACAGAATCAATGAATAATTTATTGTCCTGTTAGGCAGTAGGGCTGGTTTGGCGAAAGGGAGAGAAGAAAAATACATTGTGTTGGCAGAATTACCGGTATTCATAAAAATAGCTGGACAGGATGTGATATGACTGGAATGTATTATTCATTTAAATCGTCCTCTGTCTTCAGGAGAAGGATTTATTTCATTTTTTTTTCAGCAACAGTTATCGTTCACTATCTTACCTTCTATTCAGCATCGTGCGGTGGTGATATCAGGGGACCTGGGGGGATCATTTTATCACCTGGTTACCCGGAGCTGTATCCCAACTCTCTAAACTGTACGTGGACTGTAGAGGTCAGCCATGGAAAAGGTAAGAAACTGCCCAGATTTTTAAATGATTCATTAGGTATATATTAAATACACCTTCAATACAGACGTAAATATGCATTTTAAAATGTTGGTCTTAAGAGTTACATCTCCCTATAAGGACCTATTTGTGAGTACTCATCAGCAACAGTATGTCTATTTATATACAACACACTTGACACAATATTTTCTTGAAAAAGGCCAAATGATAAAACTTTACATTAAAGCAACACCCCCTCAACAGATCAAAACCCTCTGGGTTTTATTGTTATAGAGTGAGGGTTATAAAGTGTATATATTACTTGAACAAAGATCATTTAAATGCACTGACTGTTTTACATCATGGGCAACTGGCCAGACTGCGTCAGTTGAACATTACACTCTGAGCTCTTTACATATTGAAATATATCTCCCCCTGTTTTTAAAAGCATGTTTTAATATGGTGTTGTATAATAGTCAGCTTTACACATTCCTCATTTAGATATTATTTTACACCATTAGGAGAATATTGCATTTCATGAATTTTTTCAACTACCTCATTTAATGAACTGTTTTGACATTTCGGTGGTTCACTTGGTAAAATAATTCTGCTATCTCACTTTTATTCACAGATGATTCTTTATTTTATTAGTTTAACTCTCTTATCACAGCACTCTCTTGACAGTTACTTGATAAGTTACCATTTCTCTCAGAAGTTCGTCTTCATTATCATTTGAAAAGCACACAAAGCTTATCTCTGTGCCCTACCACTGCATTATTCCTGTATTTTACCATACCTACTTGTTATTCTCTTTCAAGAGAATATTGAAATGCCATGTTGTACTCTTTTAAAAATGTATCAAAATCCACTGAATTATTTGACACCATAAAAACAAAACAAAGCTTTGGGTATTCAATTTGTGTATGACTTTTTGTCATTTTTTTCTTTTTTTTAAAGAGTTATTTGTAATTTTGTCATAAAATGTGATAAGATCTTTATCCAAAGTAAACAATGCTCCGCATCTAATAACACAATCATATTTCACATCTTCAATTGTTACATTCACATTTCTGCTGGAAAAGTTAAATGAACCCTTGGGTTTAATAACTGGTCTCTGGCAGCAATATCTTCAAACAAGCTGGAGCACTCAGATGGAATTTATTTTCAGGATGTTTGTTTGGCCCTCTGAGCTCTGACCGGGCATCTAAAAGTGGATTTTCTTAGTTGTAAGGAATTCTGTAGTAAATTCACTCAAATGTGGGTCTTTATTATGCTCCATCACCCAATTTTAGTGTAACTTTCATAACCAAACTTGAGCTGGCATTACCCTGTAAGTGGTCTTGCATAGTCAGGCCTCTTGCCACAGCGCTGTCACTGCTGGAGAATTATCATTATGTTACATGGTGAAAATGCTGTGTACTCATTTTAACCAATCACAAATATTTTGGCTGGTGCCAAGCCCAGGATGCAGTGAAATATACCTGCAAAATAGTGTCGGGCACGATCTTGTTTCAGTGGTACAGTCGCATATGGTGAGGTGATCAATTTCATTAGAATGGCTCCGCTGAGAAAACAATAAAAAAACCATTGAAGGACACATGCGAACTGAACTGTTTGTTCGATTTTCCAATTCTTCTTCAAAACTCAACAGTTTCAATGTGTACAGGCCCAAAACAGGAGGGTATGAGAACGTTGTGTGAGACCAGCAGCACAACCACACATCTAGTCCACGTTCATTGATTGGACTACAGGTTACTGTAGGTTAATGCTAATCTAAGGAGCTTTTGTTAATGTCAGAATGCATACATTTTTCAAACTTCATTATAAACAGTTGAATGATGTATTCAATATGAACAGAATGTTAATCTGTGTGTTATTAGGGCTGATTGATTGCCTTTGTTCATAATTGTAACCTAGATGAAAGTTTGACCATGACACCAATACATATTCATACATATACAGGTATTTACATTTGCCTTCACCGTAACCTTTTTCCACAATAACTGAAACATGAAACTCAATTTCACCCACAAATGAAAAACTGATAGCAGCAAAACTTCTAACTCTTCGAAGAAATCGTTAGTTAATTCGTTAATTAAATCAACATATTAACGGATTCAGATCTACACTCACAGCTCATTCTTCCTGTCTGTGGGTGTCTCCACTGCATTAAAAAATATAGGAATGTATATTTATGCTGTGGTTACTTACTGGAGGACATTCATCCACACAGCTTTTCCACTCGAATTAGCAACATACCTAATCTATCAAAATATTAGAATGTCCCTTCTTATGGATGGCTCTTGATTAATTGATCATTTGCCTTTACTCTCTATTCTGTAATTTGCTGTTTACAGAGCACGATCAATCATTTCATTTGTGATTTATTTTATGGCTATTTGGGTCTTTATTTATCAAGTGAGCCAAACATCGTGCGGCCATTCTACATAATTGGTTCAAAGTCAGAGATGGAAACATCTTTTCCCCCATTTTTAATTCATTTGTATAAATTACCATGAATTATTACATTAATATCCAGTGAAACACGTAGTAAAGTCATGTTTAAAGAGATTCAACCAATGCAATATAGAAGGAAGAGCTTATTGTACTGATAATTAACCAACTGGCTGTCATAATGAGATGATCTTATCATGGTGTCTGAGATACTATGGAGAAATAGAAGCCAGTTGTGCAGACCATCATGACTTGCCACAATAATGTATAGGTTTTCTTTGCCGCTGTGAAGTTTTTTTTGTAGTTATAGATTTTCTAATATTTTAATTATATTCTCCCTTCTCACACAAATCAGTAATCTGATACAGATGTGTGTATTTTTGAAAATACAATTAAAAACGTTTTTAAGTTGTACAAAGTTTTAAAAAGTTGGCACATGGCAAACCTGCCTCTGTGTCTTGAATTACATAGTGAACGAAGATGGAAGTTAAATAAAAAATCAAAATCACAATAGATTTTTAAATTCACTTTCCACTTTCACACAAATTGCTTTCAATCTTTTTTGTGCTTTTTTAAATATGGCCGTCACTTTTCATTTCAGTATTAGAATTTTGCTAGGATTCATTTTTATTATGCCTATTCTTTGTCCTGCTGTAAATCAAAGCATTTATTATTTAGTGAATGACAAACATGTGGACTGAATTTATATTTTCGTCAAGCTAAACCCAAATTAATAGCTAA